ATCATCAACAAACAGGAATTTTTTGAGCTAGATTCTCTCTGTTCTTACCAAGAACCAAATATTCCCTGTCTTCAGAATGGCTGCATTTCTCCATAAGAGCTAGAAGTATGGCAACATACTACTTTTAATTTTCTCTGCTTTAGAGCACTGAAATGCCATCTGAGGAACTGTTAAAGCATCTAATAAAAAATTTAAAATAATTCCACAATTTGCCCTGGATTATTTCACAAAAGGCTTAATTATTCTTCATTAAAACTCCTGTTGATTAAATTTGTGTGAGCTCTAGCTACTCAAATAGTCTTGGGCCCAGCGTTCTTCTATTTATTTATTTTCACTTACAACTAGCCTGTATTATTGCAAAAGCCTTTATCTGTGTAATTAGTTTTACATGGATTTCTTAATGAAGACAGTATGTGAAAATGGAATATAGTAAATGTTGTTAGATATGTCAAAATGACATCAGCAGCACCTCAAGGCAGTAAACATATTGCCATGACATTATCTTTGGAAGAGCTAAGGGACATTCTGTGACTTGTGGATACAGACAATGCATCTAGACAGTTATAAAGGGTGTCATAGTCATAACATGTGGTATTTCCAACTAAATATCAAGCTCCAGATTGAAGGCTGTAGTTTTGCTCTAACTCTTCAAGCTTGAAGACTGCTGGAGAAACTCACAGCCATATTGCCAGGCACCTTCTTTACGGCCTAAATGAATTTATGCTTGTATAGTGCTATTTTTCTTTCCCATGCTATCTCTACTCTTTATATTGAATTGCATTTTTCCCAGCTGTATTTATCCTCCTCAAACCATTTCTGGGCAGTAATTACTTCCTTTGCATTTGTATCGCTGGACAACTATAGACTAAGAAACTTGGCTCTGTTAGCAACTTTGGATGGAGTATCACCATTCAGTCACTCATTTTAGAAGCTCTTCTCTGCATTGTTCTCCATCTGAGATCATCTTTCTTGAATGTGTGTAGGATGCCAGGTGTGGTATAACCACACTTCGGACATTATCAGTAATGTCTCCTAGGTTCTATTGGAAGTCTCCCTCCTCATGCCTAAAAGTCCCACTTGCCTTTGTCACAAGAGCATCATGTTACCCATTTAATCATCCTCATTTAGTTCTGCCTGGTCATCTCCTCACTTGCAATTGAACTTTCTGCACACAGCTCTCCTGATTGATTGCCCCATTTCTATGGCTGTCTTCTTCAAGTTGTTTTATTTGTGTAGTGTCACTACTCTCCTGCACTGAAAGTACAAGAGTACCCAGGCAGAAGAGCTCCTGGATCTCAAAGATTGACATCTGTGAAAGGACAGCAGAGAAGCCCTGGGATGAATCCTGAAGATCCTCACTGCCAGACCTTCATGTATTTTGTTTGATGTATCCCTTTTTTAATAGCACTTACTTGTTATTTCTTCTCTTTTAGCTGTTTTATAATCACTGAGTAAGTCTCTTCCTTATTCTTTAGATTCTTTAGTAGTGTCTAACTGTGTCAGATCTAATGGATGACAGCCCTGCCCACTACAAAGGAGATGAATCTGGAGGACTGTTAAGGTTCCCTGCAAGCCATTCTATGATTCTCTGAAAATGTGTTTTAAGCCTTGCATACTGCTGAGGTCAAATGTAATAACTTGTTGTTTCTATCTGCTGCCTTCTCTTATTTTTCTTGCAATTTCTCTTTTAATGTAAAGAAACTATATTTAGTGTTTTTCAGTTTCACTCCCAATGTGATGATGCCATTAAAGATATATGCCACTGGATCAGCACTACCTGTGTCAGAATTTTTTAGAACTCATGGAGAATGATCATAGAATCACAGAATGGCTTGTGTTGAAAGGGACATCAAGGATCATGAAGCTCCAGGCCCCCTGCTGCAGGCAGGGCTGCCAACCTCCTCATTTAATACTAGAACAGGCTACCCAGGGCCCCATCCAACCTGGCCTTGAACATTTTCAGGGATGGGGCATCCACAGCCTTTCTGGGCAGAAGTTTAACCACACTGCAAGCTTGGTGCATTTTACTTTTCAAATTACGTTTCTTTGTTAGCTGTGGTGATTTCTATTTACATACCCATATCTATTCACCTTGTTTTTGTCTTTAAATCCAACTTAATTATTTTTATTGAAAAAATATGGAGAAATACTTATTAAGAGCCTTTCCTTATCTTGTGTTTAGCGTCTGCTCCATCTTTCCTCCATAGTGACACAGCATTTTTCCTTGTCTTTTTTATTTAACTGACCGAGAGCCTTTTAATATTTGTTTTCATATCCTTTGTGAGATCTAACTCAGTTGGGTTCTGGGTAGATCAAACTTTATCTTCGTACTTCCTGACCTCTCAGATGTTTTTAGCTTGTGGAAAGTACGTTTGGCATTCTGTACAGACTCTACTTATTTCCAGTACCTTCTTTTGAAACAGTTATTCAATGAGGTTATGTGTGGGATCTCTTCGCATAAGGTCCTGTTAGCTGCTGGCAGCCCCTTTTAAAAGCTGCTTGTTCAATTTACTGTCTCTTTTCTCGATTACAATATAGACATAATGAGAAATCTTAAATGTCTTTTTTATTGCCCTTTTACAATGTGAGCGCAGTTCTTAAGTTCATATGCCAACCTTGCTTCTCTCTTGCATAAATAATCCTACTAATATCATAATTAAAACTATGAAGGTTACTTGTGTGAGAAAAAAAGATCTACATTCCTCCAAGTACCTTCACCACGTGCAGTATTTTCTCACAGCGGTGACTTTTTCAGCTGAACTGCAAAAGCTGTCAAAGAAGTGCACATGCAGTATCATAAGAAGAACAGAATATTTTGAAAGGTGAGACTGATGGGAAAACAGTTCCACCAATGGATGCAGAGAGTCTTCCAAGTGTTTAGAATGTCTCTAATAGCCTTTTAACCACTTGCCTCGGGTTTTACATTATATTATTGGATTTTCTTCTAGCATTCTGCTGATTTCCAAATGTACAATTAGAGTACTGAGTGCTCAGGAAAGCGGTCTTTAGCAGAACTTAATTGTTATATGGAAAAAGATCAGAAAATCAAATCATGGATGGAGTGAGAAGAGTCCTCTGCAGCTCATCTGGCCCAACCCCTGCTCCAGCAGGAACACCCAGAGCAGGTTGCCCAGGCTTATGTCCAGTTGGCTTTTGAAGATCTCCAAGGAGATCTTCAAAACTCCACAGCTTGTGCCAGTGCTCTGTCACACACACAGCACAGAAGTCAGTGGGTGGTCTCCTGTGTTCTAGTTTGTGCCTGAGGCCTCATGAATTGGCACTGGGCATCACTGCAGAGTGCCTCACTGTTTTCATTGAATTATCCCTTTAGGTATAGACATTAATAAGGTAACTATTTATTACCTGGAGTATTGTTAAGTCTCAAGATATGTCACTGCTGAGTTTCATGAATACTGGGAAAACATAATCAGCAGCAGACTGCCCCAGAAAGCTTGCAGTTGAAACAGTTAAAACACATCCAAGACTAAAGAGAGCAAACATTTTTTACAGTCACTGTAAAATGTGGGAAATGAGCTAAAGTCACCCATTTAGGGCGTGACCAGCACCTGAACTCTGCCTCCTTGTCTTCTCAATCTCTCAATTGCAGGAACCTTTTTTCCCAGTTTTGTCCACTATAATCATTAACAGGAGTAGGAAATTTCAGCATAGTTCTGGGAATGAAAAGAGACAAAATTTCATTTATTTTCCTACTGTTTCACTTACTTTAATAATCTGTCACAGTATGACAAAGTAGTTGGTAGAAGGAGAAAGCATGGAATGTACTCCATTGACGATACATTACATTATTTAGCCACTCCTGTAGAGGAGCATATATTATCTATTAATCAGTTACTGTGAAAAGACAGCAGATGGGTAAAAACCTGATTTGGCTGTTAATTTACAAATTTTGAGCTATAGGTATAAAGCAAACAAGGAAGTCGATGACAATGCTGAAAATATTTTTTGTCGCATAAAAAGCTTCCTTTTACTAGATTGAGCATGGGATCATAAGTAATATTACACAATTTTGAGAAGATATTAAGAAATTTCAGCACATTTGCATTTTCAGATTAGCTGGTGAGCTTCACAACTGTGACCTGAATTATGACTCTCCTGTGGTTTCTATTTATACATTCTTTTTTCCACTACAAATAAATTATGAAATACATTTAAAGTCATGAGTTAATGAAAAAAAAAAAAAAAAAATCAAAAGTATAATGGGCCCAGCTGTTTGGAATAGTGTCATTTTTTGCTGTCATAATAATAGTAATAAAAGCCACTAAATCTCTTCCTTGCATAAATGTATCCATTTACTTCCTCAGCATCTCAGTGAATGAAAGTTTGACCAATACAATGTATCTGGACTGTCACTCCTGTGTGTGTCAGTAAGGATCAAGGCAGGATTAGTGAAGAATCTGTATGTGATTCAATGCTTACCACATTGTCAGCTTCTCAGGAAAGTAGGATCCTGGGTCATAGAAAAGAAAAAGAAATAGAACTTTGTTTTCATTGAAGAGTGTTATCTTGTGTTTGAACAACATTATGCTTACCTCTCTGGCAGCAAAACTACCAAGAGCACTGTAAAAAGATTTTCATACAGTATTTACCATAAAAACTTCTCATAGAAGTGCTCACATAATTGTTGTAATTAAGGGTTTTGAAGAACTTTTCTTCAAGATTTAGGCCAGAAGTATCTACATAGTTGTCAAATACTGGTTCTACTGTAGCACTCAGTAATTCATCTCCACAGGGAAAAAAAAAAATAAAAAATTACCACTGGAAGTAAAAAAATTGTCTAGATTGAAAGACTTTCAAGATCACCAAGTTCAACCAACAGCCTGACATTCTGAGTCCCATTACTGTATGGGAATTGTTGAGTCACAGCCTGAACCACTGATTGATCACCTGAGCGAAGGACTGAGTCAGTTGTGGGAGCACAGGTGAAGGCAATTCAGCTGTGTGACCTCCTAGACCCCTCATTTAAGGGCTGACTGCCACTAGGGGAAGATCTCTTTCTGGAGATTTCTCCTCTGTGGAATCTTTCTTGCAAATCTAGGTCTTTGGATATGGGTGAGCATTCTTTTCCTGTTTGTTTTTTTTCCTGTTTTCAACATGATAATCTTTCCAGCTTCAACATATCACTAAAACCTGTCCCTGGTGCTGCATCCACACATCCCTCCAGGAATGGGGGCTTCACCACCTCCCTGAGCAGTCCAAGCCAATGCTTGACCACCCTCTCTGTACAGAAATTCAGCCTAACATCCAATCTAAACCTCTTGTGGCACAGTTTGTGACTGCTACCTTGTCTCCTTTCACTTATCACATGAGAAAAAGAGAACAGTGCCCTTCTTGTTGCAACTTCTTTTCATGTTGTAGGGAGCAATAAGGCCTTCCTTCATCCTTCTCCTAACTAAACAACCTCAGTTCCCTCATTAGTATTATTTACCAGTCCCTTTGCTAGCTTATTATTCTTCTCTGTGCATAATCCTTTGAGGGAGGGGCCAAACTCAACACAGCATTTGAGGTGCAGTCTCGCTCACAGTGTCTGCTCAGTGAGGCATGTACTCATGCCATGGAGCTTTTCAGGAAAACAATTCAACCACATCAGGTGCATGCTCTCTGTTAATAGCCTGTTAGGGTGATAGGTATTGATTAAAAATCCAGAGATATAAACCTACCTGGTTTAATTTTCAAAAATGTGAAATATACAGATCATTAGTTGAAGAACTGTATTATTTTTCTGAGTGTTTACTTCTTACAAATAATGCATATTTTCAGCTTATGCATATGTTGACTTTTCTTAGCTGGGGAAAAAGAGCTGCGGTACAAATAACATGGCGTAGCTATTTACTCAGCAGTCCATCCAAAATGACCTGAATAAGGTGAAAATTTTTCATTGCAGCAGCTTTCTATTGGTGCATTAGAGGATTTGTAGTGAAAGATGTTCTTTTCACAGATTTATTTTTAATAAGAAACAAAAAACGCCATCTAAACCCAAATATTTAATCATGAAATTGCATTCTTTTTAATTCCAAAATGCTCCATAATGCCTACTGAGATGCTTCTGACTCCTGTTATAGTCAGGGGCCTGTTTTCCTATCTGGACTTAATCTCCTGTGACCTGCCACTATCTCAGCTTTATGGCTATGGACATAACCTCATCTCTGATGAATTGAGGAAAATACAGTCTAATAATGTAGCTACTCAGGGGAATGAGAATATGAATCACTCAAACTTTAATATCTGTGAGGGCCAAAAATTTGTATTCAGAGCTCCCCTGGAAAATTCTGCTCTGCTAAGGAAAAAAAAAAAATCAGAAACATTTTTAATTATTTCTAGACACATAGATCTCATTTACTTCTGTATAAATACAGTGGCTTCCATTAAATTAGCTTAGAATTTTATCTGTGCATAAACCTAGCGATGTGTGTGAAAGGCTTAGTCTGAGGTTTGTGTAGAAGTGACTTCATCTGGTAGGATGAAGGGGGGGGGCAATGGGTGCTCAGACTGTACTGGAGCTGTTGGTATGCTTAACCAATACTGTGTTTGTATGGAGAAGTTTTTTGTTGACAGCTTTATTAATCCTTTTTCCCAGTTGATAGCATTTCAGACAAAGCATTTTTTACACACGAGTTGAGTATGTGGCATGGCCTGTGCAACTGAAATCTGTGAACTACAGTGTCAGCTTGACATCAATTACTGTCTGAGGCTCTAGGATAGGTATCTTCAAGCATCAAACAAGAAGTTGTATTTCAAAGCCTTGAAACCAGCAGCATGTCTGAATGCTCTCCAATTTGGATAGAATATTCTTAGTTTAGATTGCTTAATCAATGCTCTGACTTCACTTAATCGGCATACAATAATATAAAAATAAAGCTTCTCTGTTTAAAAAATTGCTTGTCATTTCCAGTCTGGCTGCAAAGGTCTGTGCATTCATGTCTGCCGATCTGCTAAATCTTTATGCCGCCTCCTCTTTGGAGAGTCATTAAGCTTAGAAGAAGTCTAAGCCTCTCCAGGGCTTGTTTTAAAACATGTCAAAACTGTTGGACAGCAGCTTGTTAAAAACTCCCATATTATGGATCATTCTGATTGACTGGCCATAAATTAATGCCAGTTCTGTTGTTGTTATTTTTAACATATGTTGCTAAGATACTTACATGTCATAACTGAGCCATTAAGTGTGGGCTGGCACGCAGGTACTTAATGCATGTAAGCTCTTCTATTTTTTATTTTTATTAACCTTCACTCTTATAGTAATTAGAAATCTGAATAACTATTATTCAGTGTAACTGTAAGACATTAAGAGGCTGATTTTCAGATAGGCTATTCACCCACATTTTCATTGGCTTTAGCTCAACGGTGTCACTGCTTCCTAATCTTACATTGGTTCAGGGTACACCATAGCCCTGCAGTTAACGCACAGACCTGCAAAAGGCTGTTAACTACAAGCCAGCACTGTACACCAATGCTTTGGACCCAATCACTTCGACATTTGTTTATATCCACACAGAGAGTAAAGGATGAGTGTGCCCTACACCCATCATGAATCTATCTAAGCACTTTGCCAGAAGCTAGTGCTTAAACCATGGAGATGGCCAGATGCATCCCATCATGCCTTTATATTTCATCTGCTTTAAGATGGTGACCTAGTTCTTTACAGAGAGAGTGGTGGGATGCTGGAACAGGGTGCCCAGAGAGGTTGTAGATGCCCTGTCTCTGGAGGTGTTCAAGGCCAGATTGGATGGGGCCCTGGGCAGCATGGTCTAATATTAAATGTGGAGGTTGGTGGTCCTGCATGTGGCAGGGAGGTTGGAACTTCATGATCTTTGAGGTCCCTTCCAACCCCTGTAATTCTGTGATATCCATTTTTTACAAGAAAAGATTTGTGTGAGTCATGTCTTTCCTCTCATTCCCCTCCCTGTTACGCCACAAAGATGGGCTATCCCCTTCACTTATAACTTGCTTCTCAGAGCTCAAGAGCAAGGATGCAAACTAAGTTCTGTCAGAATATGACTAGATATTTTTTAATGTCAGAAAGAATTGGGCCCTAGTGTCTGAAGACAGATTTTAAGCATTTTTTAAGTCTCTGGTCCAAGTTAAGCCAGTTTTTTTGTCCTACCAATTCAGGGGAAGAATGATATTATCTATTTTCTGTTTGTATGCTATAAATACAATTTGAGTCTATTGCATTTATTATACTTTGAACTTTAAATGTTTCCTGCAATTTCCAGGAAGACTTCATTAAAAAAAAAAAAAAATCTACTGGCCAAGAATTATATACAGAGATGATTTGGCAATTTATTCAGAGTAATGGAGAAAGTCCAAAGGAAAAGAAAAATCATAGTCTACTTGGAACAATTTTTAAGGAAGAAAAAATAGGAGGAAAATCATCAGGAAAAAAAATGACATATAATTCACTTTGATGTAATTCAGGATTAACAGATTTTGAACATTTCTTAATCTGACTTGCAGGTGGTGATCTGCTGCCAGAATAAATAAATTTCCAGAAGTGCCAAGGCCGCTCAGCCATTTACTGTGATTTCACTCCTACATAAGGAATTTGTATTCACCAACTTTCTTCAAGTATCTCCTCTATTATAGTAAGTATTTAAGATGCATGATTTTCTGTGTCAGAAGTTCTAGAAAATAAGAATGATGTGAATTCTGGAAGGTCCAACTCCAGTCCTAGATCTTGCTGGCAAAAACAGAATTTTAGCATAGGCATGTTAAACATATGTAAGGCTGGGTAAGGCTTTGGATTAATTGCAGTTGTCATATCTGTAGCTTGTATTTTTCTCATCTCTATGAAGTAGACATTTGCAGAGTGTGTAAAATTTTTCTACTAGTCTTATTACCTGACATTAAATTTTTTAATGGTTGCATCTGTATTTGCAACTTTTAAATCAATGTCAGTCACTTTTCATCATTCGAAAAAAGAACCCCTCACCCAATATCAAAAGCAAACAAACAAAAATCCATTGATAATTCCAACAACTAGGCTTTGGAGTAGAGACCTAATTAGTTCTTATTGAGCTCGATCCAAAGTTCAATGAAGTAATTTGGAGACTTTCAATTAAAGTTGATTGAGTTTAGAACAAAGTTCTTTCTCAAGCACATTGATTTAGCAATATTGGGTTGCAAATAGTCACCCTATCGTCAATCAGCAACGTTAGCCACAGATATTAGGTTCTGTTCTGTTTCTGATTGTTTCTGGGAAAACTGCTGCCTAAGTTGGTGATGCCCCCGTGGCCATATAGAGGGCATGGAAAAACTTTATGTGCTGGGTACCCATTTATGTGGCAGTCACCAAAGCCTTCAGGTTTCACTCCTTTTGGCTTCACTGCAGAGTTTTCATCGGAAGTGTCAACATTAACAAGATTTTAAACTGCAGGCGAATATAGAACATCATTTGATCCTAGCAAAGAAGTGTTTGCCTCAGCACTTGCGGGATAATGTAGAGTAAGCAGCAAATCATTGATGAATTTGTAATGCAACACCGGTCCCAGGAGTGCTCAGGCAAAATTGCTGCAAAGAAGAAGGAAAGACACCAAAAGTGATTAAATGCAGAGACAGATTCAGACCTTGGGAGACCTCCAGGGAGACTCCTTTAAAATAAATAAACAAAAATGAGTAAGTTAAATGGGGGGGGGGGGGGGGGGGGGAATGGGGTACAGAATCATGTGCTTAATTATTTCATTCTGTCTTGATAAAAACCAGCAGGAGCCAACAAATGATGCATGTTTATGGAACCTTAACTGGTCTGGAATTGCCCTTGCACTTACTCTAATTTTGTGTTGTACTGTGACTACGGATTGTCCACTCTTCAAGTGAAACTTTGTACATTGTACATTATGTCAGGCCATTAACTCTCATCACTGTTAAACGCCTAATTCGCTTTTGCTGATGCAGGGATAATTAGTAAACACATGCTACAATTTGTGTTCGTAGAGCTAGGTATTTAATCGATATTGGTACATTTAAAAATGCAGCAAGTTCACTAACAATATTCACTAGTACCAAATGGAGATTAGAGACCTTCAGCGGAGTTGCTTTATTGTCATAAAGGTACAACACATCTATCAACATGGACATTTGGTCCTTAGAATAACACTTCAGTGAATGAGTGGAAGCATTGGTACTTGAGGTGTCTGTGCTCATTTTCCATTTTTACTATGTATTTGCTCTCTGAGCATGAGTGAGTCTTTCATGGACCAGCCATAAAAGGGCTGACAATGCTTTTCTTGTATGCGCTGGCTACTTGGACAGTCTGCTTTATAATGGGGCTTTTCAATGTGGTCTCCTACTGTATTTCTGTACCTGGGAAGTAGTGCTTCACTTCCATTTGGTGTCCCAGGCTACTTAAAGTAACAAATTTAAGTTGGTTTTGGATAATGACATCAAGATTTGAAAAAAAAAACCAACAAACCTCTCCCTATTGTATTAGCAATTCCCAGAGTATTCCACTCCCTTTGTAAATTTATTTTAGAGACTAAGCAAGGTTATGCTGCAATATGAAATACAGTGATCTGTTTAAAGGTAGTTGCAAAGCTCTGGCTAACGATTGCATAAAGCTGAGATTAGAGAGTACATTCCACCTACTGATAGCAAAATTACCAAGTGTACGTACCGAAAATAAATCCTCAATTAAGGAAAACAAAGCAGCTTCTAAGCTATTGTTCTGAAAATTTCAGTGATTTTGAAGTCATTTCTGCTGAATGTTCTGTACTTGACATGTTATATCCTGCTCTTTCTTAAATATGCTTCTCTATTTTTATTTATTTATTTATTTATTTTAAGTAAGATGCCTTTTACTTTGCGGTTGTAGTCTTGGAGGTAGATAGGGATGACTTATTCTTTTATGACATGCAGAAGTGGGGATGCCACTTCAGTCTACACTGGCCCAAAATGCTGTAAGGATCTTTAGCTCCATGCTTATATCCATGCCGGTGGCCATCTAAAAGAATTTTAGCCTCCAAAGTTCCAGCAGAAAAGTGGAGGGCAGTGTAGATGGGCAAAGAAGCCCAGACGTGGGCAGTGAAACCCCTGCCTATTTCGTGACAAATAGGTACCACACAGCTTTTTCAAATCTGTAGTGAAGCACGTGCTGAAGGGGTTAGTCAGGAAAGGAGAGCCTACTTTTTCCCTTCGATTCAGACAATAAAAAAAAAGTTATCTCTTGGGCATAACCTTAGTAAAAGGCAATGCCTTGCTGACAGGGAAACATATTTAGCACCATGATTTGTTGGGAGTGTTTGTACTTTTTTCCTGAGAAATACATTTAGCCTCTTGATAACACTAGATGATAGCATTCTGCCCTGTGGGCAGATGTGCACGTAATAGATGGTGCCTAAGGCATATCTGCCCACGTTTGGTGGACTCTCTTTTGTTAACATGACTGGGTAGTTCAGTTTTATTACATTAACTGTTGAGAACAATCTCTCCTTAGTGTCAGAAATTAATGTTTTTTATAATCATGCAGATTTTAGGTATGCACCACTTGCAATAACATACGATTTTTTAAAATGCATGGTAAAAATAAATGTGTCACTTCCTTTTTGTTGAAGATGCTTTAAAATTGGTGGACCGGTCATACTTATTTTGAAAGAATCTATTTTTTACTGTTATTTCAAATGATGAAAATTCAAGGAAGATGAATGTGGCTGGAAATTGTTTTTGCTTCTTTTGAATGTCTGTGCAGTATGTTTGGGTATCTTGCTCTCTGTACTGTCAAGTGAGGCTGAGACAATGTCAGTTTCCTTGAAGTTTTGTTGTTAAGGTTCCAGCTCGATACAGATGTTGTTGTTTGCATGTATTCAGGTACATGAGTAGTCCTTCTGAAGTCTGTTGGAAAAATCTTAACTCCACTGTTGTCAGTTCTAAAACTCACACTCCTCCTGGTGAGACCAAATTGATAACATTTTTCAGTGGAACAGTTTTGCAGAAGGGGAAGGAAATTGTGTTGGGTTTATATGCTTTTTCCAGTGAATTGAGGATAGTCTGTATTTTAAGGTTTTGTAGCAGATGTGGTGCAAGCAGCCACGGAGAGCTGTCAGAAACAATTACTTCAGTTTTGTAAGAATCATCTGGTTTAGTAATGCCAGCTCTATATTTTGTCCTGTCTACGTTTACATTATATATTAATGATAACTATATTACTACATTGATATGAAGTGTCATCTGAAGTGGCTTCAATAACATTTAGATACAATTCATATAAAGCTGCTTACTACATCAAACTAAAGCCAATCAATCATATAAAAATTAATTGACTTATCATTATCAGAATACTCTTGTTTTAGATTTCTGAACCTGTTTTCTTCAAGGCATTTGTTTAATAGGAAATTCGGAAGTAATGGAATTCTTTCTGATATGGAGCGTAATCAAATTCTGAAGGGTCAGGATTTTCTGCAGAACAGAAATTTCCATTTTGACTATCTCTAAATGCAGCCAGTTCTTAACTCAGTGTATCTTTTTACCAATGCAGTGGAAAGCTGTGCACTAAAATGCCATGCAAATTTGGAGCTTAGTGGTCTATTCTTGTTATTCTTGATCAAAATGACATGAACATATGATCATACTGCTGATCAAATATGTTGTGCCCCATATCTCAATTTCTTTTTTTTTTTTTTTTTTTTCTGAAGATAATGGCCGTTTTTATGGTTGCTTTTACTCAGACACTCCTCCTCATTTCTGGTGACAAGACTTTTTAAATAGAATCCAAGCTTTTGTACAAAACAGCATGTTTATTTTATCCTCCTCCTGCCCTCAGAAAATGATTTCATGACACACAGTCACAAATAAGTCATACTTCTAGTACTAAAAGCTTTTGCATGAGACTGATGTTCAATGCAGCCTCTTTTCTTTATTCTCTTATTTGCTCCTATTTATTAATTTCTTGGTAGTCTTAAGTTCTTGGCAGACTACAATATACCAACAACATCTCTTTATCTGCTTGCCTGTTAACTTTAGCTACGGAACCACAGTGTTCATTTTAATTTCACTTTAATGGCAATTGACTGGGATTGTCTCTGACTTTATATTATTTTATACTAATATAATGCCCTTGGGTTAAGTGGAATGCATCCTGGTTTATCCTTGTGGCTGCAAAAAAATGATTTTTGGACATGTAATTGCGTATTGAAAACGTTAAACCCTTGGGTAATATAAATACCTGACTGGTGATAATATCCTCAGAAGGTTTCTGTTTCTTTCCTATAATATCTGCATTACAAAAAATTTTCTTCACACAGAGTCATGCAAGCCATTTGTTTGAACAGGGCTGACTGTGGTACAATAACATTCCCAGCTGTTTGATGGGAACCTTTCTCATACAAGCTAAGTGACAAGTAGTAGTGTAAACCCTCCTTTACTCTTGTATTGGGCCTTGAAAATCTGCTAAGATCAGGGAGGACAAAGGAAGTCAAGGGCAGGCAGGACATAATAAAAAAAAATTTGAATGCATCACAAGCAGAAGCAAACGTAGTGAGTTTTGCATTTAAATGAAATTTTATATACTCACAGGAAGCATCATCTAGTGGTTAAAGTATAGAACTGGGAGCTGAGCAATGCTGCTTCTATTCTTGGCCACAATGCTGCAGATTTTGTTCCAAATAGGGAAGAGCAGAGGTCAAAAATATACCTATATAAAAGAGCTTTCCATTTTTAATAATAGCATGAGATAAGGCCATATCCTGGAGCATTAAAGAGAATAAGAACTTTGATTTTAGATTTTCATGGAAACCAGCTCAGAATTTCAAAAAAGGGACAGATCAGAGTTGGATGAAAATGGATATGAGAGGAAAGTCATATTCATTCTGAAATCAAGTGAACAGAGGTATGTAAGTATAGTATGGGGTCAGCAAATATAGAAAGTATGACAGGTAGCAATGGCACAATAATTAGTTAAGAGGTCATAAAATGTGTCTATCTCATACACCCATGAGATTTCAGTAGCAGTGCACCATGGAATGTTAAAAGCCTCTTCCTATATGGGTATAAAATTACTTATAGAGAGATATTTGTGTGAAGTTCATAGTAAAATTTATGGTGTTCACAGGGTCTGTGCTTGCTATTGAATAAGAATGAATTCAGGCAAATTCATACCCAAATTGTGTTCAACTGCACAGGTAACATACGTATGTGAAGCTGCCACATGAAAGAATTAATTTCAGCTGAGACAAGTTGGAAAGATTGCAATTAAGCAGATCTGTAGCCCTCATTTGCAGTCTCCTAGTACACCTTCATGCCATCACCAGGTTCTCCACATACCTGCAGTGTTCAGGATCTTATAAAAAAAATTTAGCTTTTAATTTACAGAGCCCAGATTTATCTCCTAGATTTCTCCTCTGTTAAAGCCAACTGCTCTGTGTTCTAGATTCTGAAGCTGAAGTTACTTGGATGTGCTGTAGGTGAAGATGTATGTCTTTATAGTCATGTAGACACAGAACAATTTGTCTCTAAAATGAACATCAGATGTGGCTTAAGCTTCTAATTTTAAGGACATTGATGTGTTAAGTCTTCTTCTAAGGGGATTGGACTCAATGATCTCTGGAGGTCCCTTCCAACCCCTACAATTCTGTGATTCTGTGAAGTCTTGGTCCTCTACAAGCACTGAATGCCTTGCACTTCAGGCATATTAGGATTTCAGACTTAGAAATGAATGCCTCATCTGCAGGATACATAAAAGACATTCTTTGAGCGTGGTGTTGACACCCTCTTTTTGACCTAAAGGCGTTTGTCCAGTAGGGAGATCCTGTTTCAAATCCCACCTCTAAGTAGATATGAACTTGCTTGCATTTTCTACCTCGCACAAGAGCAGCTTAAGGACCAAGTTATAGAGTAAATTTTGAGAAGAGGTAATGGGTCAGAAAGTTTAGGCTTTGTTTCCCTTAGAAATTGGAACATCTTTAACTGTGAAGTGATTAAACGCTCATGGGATTGAAGAGAGATGAAGAGAGAAAGGAAGTGTGTGAATGAATGAACTGCACGAAGGAGTGGGGGGTGTAGTGTCAAATACCTTCAGACTTTTGAAGGATTGGAAGCCCAGATCTCAAGTGAGAGTTCCAAGTATGTTGGAGAGGATCTTGTCTGTATTTTGTGAGAAAGGAATGGCTTAAGTGTCCATCTTCAGGAAGAGCATTTGTAACTATGAATTTCAAGAGAAGCGGCAGCTCAGAATAGTAGCTGTCCTAGGGGATAGGGGGAGAAAAAAGTCACTTCTGTCTCCAGCACCACCACTTGGCCAGCAATAGCACATTGCTCTTCCATATGTCACATTCTGAGGCACCTAATTGTCCTCATGCAATGTATAGTAACACATCAGTATCCAAGTCAGAATAAGGATGGTGAAGCATCAAAGTATCAAGGAATGTTTGGCTTTCTGAGGATACAGGCCATTATAGTTTTTACATCAAGGATTGCAGTGACATCTGTAAACTTCTTTGTGAAGCTATTTAAAATCTCTGAATGAAAAATGAAGTGGCAGTAGTTCTCCAATTCAGAATGGATTAAAAGGAGAGGCAAGGTTTTAGGGGAGAGATTATCTTTTATTAGATCATCAGTTATATTGGAAAAAGCAGGACAGTTTTCAGGAATGAATCCCTCTCCATTGAAATAATGATCACTGCTTGTTACCACAAGATATTCAAAACAAAATCAAACTGCTAGTTGTCTCTTTCTATCACTTTCTCATTTTATTGCAGGAAGTTATTTTTCTCACGTTACAGCAGTTGTTTGTTTGTTTGTTTTTCTGATTTTATGCTGATTCTAGTTAATCATTTTGCCTGAGGTACAAATTTCAGAAGCTGGACTATGCTACCTTTACAGCCCCAGAGATTTTTGCAGCAGCAGAATACCCATCTGCCTTGTTCCATCTGGTTTCCACTTCTGCCTCTGCCACCCAAAGGCACAAACACAGAGAGACAGGCCCAGCGTTTTGCAGCTTAGCATTCATGCAAGGATGGAGTGTACTAAGTGATAAAATATTTAATAGTTAATAATTGTATTTTAAAAAATAGGGCTCTAAGAACAGCCGACGCATGTTGCATTGAAGTTAAGGGACCCCACGGAATTTGGATTCATGGCTAAAAAAGTTAGTTCCTTGATGGTTAAAAAGAGGAGGGAAGTTAAGGATTTCTTAACTGTATGTTTCTACAATTACAGTTGTTTTTTGGTGCAAAGTTAATCTGCAGTGTTTGTCACTATGCCCATTCTCCTGCTCTTTTTTGACTTCAGTGTTTATAGTTAGACATCCAACAATTTCTGCAAGTGTTCTACGGAGGGACCAAACTGTTCATTTTCTGTTTTCTCTTTAAAATCTTCACTGACTTTCAGAATTCAAGCATGGAAATGCATTAATTAGAAAGCAAAGCTGAGCAAAAAAAAAAAAAAAAAAAAAAAAGTGAGACTTTGCTGGAGTTTGGCTGTAGCCACCATATACAGTAAAGTGAAAACTCTACTAAAATATGTCCTCAGGACCCAGTCCAGTTTTACATTCTTCCAAATTCAGGGAGATCTGTCAGAAGCTTTTGTCTCAGGCTGACTCCTCAGCTAGGGTTCAGCTACTGAAATGCTAACGTACCTGTGTATTTTTTCCTTTTAAACAGTTTTCTTAAATTTTTGTTCATTTTGCTGTTTTCAGCAAGTCTCTTCACAACACCAAGAGTTCATGAATATACTGGTTCTATCCATACAAATCTAAATTGTGACAAGCTAACACCAGTACCTTCTGTTGTGAACTCAATGAGATAGTTATGGAGTAAAGCATTATTCACATACATGAACAAGATTAATGATACCTTAGCCTTTTGTTTTCCCCTTTTCTTCCTGATCCTTCTATTAAATATACAAAATATAAGGGTTGCCTCACGTAACTTTATAGTTTTGAATAGAAAATCATGAATTATGAAGAGGCAACTTGAAAACTACCAGTGAGAATAATAGGGCATTGAAAGTCAATTAGTTGCAAGGCACTGGGATTTTTGGGAAGAAAGTATCATAATAGTACCACATAATAGTCCATTATAAAACTATAGATTCTCTGCAGAGCAATGTTAATGAGCTCCTTTAAAACTTCAAGGAAGGTTACAACAGTCTAGACTCACTTGCTGCCTTAGTTTAATTTAGGCATACCTAGATGTTTCTGCAGTCACTTGATGCTGATTAATGGAGGAAACTTCATAGCCCACTAAATGTGCAGCTGAGTTTACAAAATGTATCAAATTTAATAATCATTAATAAAAGCCCTAAATATATCACAAAATGAGCTAGATTACAAAATATAATCCAGTAAAGCAAAATAATACAAAATGCAAATAAGTAGAAATAAAGTGAAATATTACATTTAAGGGTGGAAGATACTGAAATATTAACATATTACTTTTTTTTTTTTTTTTTTTTAGAGATTACTAAATTGAAGTTTTAGGAGTTGAGGCAAAATGTATTGGCTCCCAAGTCTTTCACAGGAGCGAGAAGTTGTTGTTTATTCTACTATCAGTAAATTCATTACGAAGAAGCATGAATGCACAAAATTTCCTGGTAATACTGAGTGTTCTGAGCTCAGATGGTGCAGGGGGCTCCACTGATGACACTCATTCTTCTGCCTCCACTGCATTCGGATATGCTGCTACATGTCACCAGGGCATATTAAAATGTAGCATATTTCTTAAAAGCTATTCAATTCCTTCTCATTTCTGTAGGTGCATGAAAAATGCTTTTGTTGGCTCAGGCATTGATAAAGTAGTAGCAATTTCTGCAAGCTTAACTATTCAACTTTATTATTTATTTGGAGAAATTTTACAGAGCTGGGCAGGGAAAGTGAAATTGAGGAAACTGCATTGCAGTTTACAGTTAAAAGAACTTGGTAATTAGCATAGAATAAGAAAGAAAAAAAAAACAGAACAGAACACTCCTCTGTATAGATACTGGCAAGCTTTTTTTAATTTTTATTTTTTAATAGAAATGTTCCTTTCTTTCTATTTGCAGAGGATTTCAGTGAGCACTCCACGGCCCTTTGATAGACTTACCTCTGTTCCAGAGACATCTGTAGAACCTTACTAAGAAAATGAACCCTATGAGTAAGGAGCTGCAAGAAAAAATGCTCAAAACTACTGCTATACACCAGTACTTCTACTAATCTAGCAATTTTTAATATCACAGGCTTCTAAGGACCAATCCTAAACACCATGAAGTCAATAGGAAAACTGCTTATGACTTCCAGAGCCTTAGGATCAGCACTTCAGTCTGTTGGGTTTTGTCTGGTTTATTTTTTTTTTTTAATTGTATGAAATGTGCATAAGAAGATCCTTGAATGGCAAGGATTGGAGTTTCCTAATGTGCTTAGTCAGCAGACAAGAAGCACTGGAAACTGGAACTTCTGAGTGCTGTTGCTGCACTTTGCTCTTGACTGGCTGTATGACTTATGCCCACTGGCTCCTGCTGGAAACTCCAGCTTTCTTGTTGGTAATCAATTGTTAAGAGCTTGAAAATAAATATGTGAAATCAATTTCTTTTCCTTCCTGTACCCAGCAGCTGCAAAATTTCAAATTAAGTATCTTTGGGAGTACTGAAATAATGCTTGAAGGCAGCGAAGTAGGAAATTCTAGGCCTGCAGGCAGATCTGCCTTGGCCAGAAAGAGAAAAAAGAATTGCATGCAAAAGTACATTCACAAAAGCATTTCTCCTTAGAATAATAACATATTCTTTCAGGTACAATAGAGTGCAGAATAATTCTGCTGAAGACAACACTATTACTGCAGGAGAAAAGCTAAGCTTTGCTCATGAAGAGCAGAGATCTTTCCTATTTTCCTTTATGGAAACTGTCATTCACAAGAAGACATAGGGAGGAAAAAGGAGCAACGTGAAGGAAAAAAGAAGGAATAGGAGTGGGAGGCTGCCATGGTGATGACCAACCTTCCACTGCTTTAAGTCCTTAAGTGTATTACATTCTATATTCTGGATTTAATTATGGTGCTGGAGTGTAATGCTAATAACACTGCACAGTTTTATCTTCTCTCTCTGTCTGATGTACATCTAATTAAAATAGGCATTAATTAATATGTGCTGAACTTTAGGTGATTAAAGTATTATAAATAATATATTATAATTTATAGCACATGGATCATTGTAAAACAGTTTAAATTAATGTCACCAACTAAGATGTGACAGTTCTTGAGTGCATTGCCTGACAGGGAGCAGAGCAGTGTAAAGTGACCGCCTACATCTCCATGTCCCAGCACCCAGTAAGAGGTCAGTTTAGTTCCAGTCCCCAGGCTTCCTTCTCAAGCCATCTGCTCTATATAAGATGGGCTTTTACTTCTCTAATTATCCCACATCATCAATGTCCTTTTGTTGTGAGCGATACATGGGAGATAATTAATTGAATATTGAAATAAAAATTATTAACTTTCGCAGTGGCTTATGTAAGTTATATCTTTGCATTCATACAGTAGTTATGATTAAGGATGTACACTGTCAGCAAACTAGATTGCTTGGTCTTGAGTGCCTATTTAGAGGATAACTCAAAAGGGCACTAAATATGGTTATGAATAAAATATGTTAGTACTAGGTCTATGCAAGAGCCAAGGGTACCTTACTGCTAAATAGGGGAAGTCATGGTCAAAGCAGACAGATTTTAAATGATCAGCACAGTGGTGCTATCCTTGCGTGCACCTCTGGGAAGACAATGTCTTCTCTTTCACACTCCTGCTGAGAGGATGAAGCTCACCTCCCTGCCAGGAGTAATCTCCTTCAGGTCTCCTTCATATGGATTATTGTACCAGACAGTTCTTTAGCTTTCAGGAAAAGGGTTAAAGATCTGCTTTTCAAAGTGACTTTTCTGTTCTGGCCTTCCACTCCCATGCCCTACATGCACACAGTAAAATCTTCCTGTTAGGAAGGACTCAAATCAAACATTCTGGTTACTCAGAGTTTTGTGAATCTACATCCAGTTTTCAGGACTGCTGTTGGGAAGTGATTCCTTCTTAGAATCACCATGGCAGCAATACTTAACTCGTTCTGGTAAAAATAAATAATAATAATAAAAAGCTTTTTAGACATTTTGTCTATGAAGCACCATGCCAATAGAAAAAGAAGATAAATTTTGTAATTTATTTTGTGACAACACAAAATTGGAAGTCTACAATCAGTGGGAAGTAAAAGCCTTCAAAAAATAAAACTACTAGGTGATAAGTTAAAATTACTGGTTGTCACATCTATCCACTGCTTTTATCCATAACTGTTCTGTTCCTTGTGTAAATGTATGGCTTTATTAGTGTCCACTGGGAGCCTTTAGACAATAAAGACCTTAGGGTTCCCAAGTTAATGACTGGTATTAATTACCACCAATGTACAAATTTCCTAAATCGCATACCAGTTGCTGTGTTTTATCTGAGGTGTATGTAAAATTCCAGTCTTTTACCTTGCCTTCGTGTACAAAGAGTTCCTCTAAGACAAGGCCACTTACAGGTGCCTTGGATAGACCGACTTCTGTTTGGCTGCTAAAAGGGTCAGAGTTTTTGCAGTAAAATGGCCTCTACACAGAATTCAAGGGGGGAAAAAATGGAGATGTTGCTTCGTTTACTTTCCTCTCTGAATTGCACTGTCATTCCAAATGTTGCAGTAATTAAGGAACAGGTTGGTTAATTGCTTATGTAAAGGTTATGAAACAAACGTACAACTTTCTAGCCTTCTTCCTGATCTAGAAGTACCCACCTGTATTTTCTTCTGTTTGGAATCTAGCTTGTCTCTGTATTCCTCTTCCTGAGTCGTCCTTTTGTGCTGCGTTCACACAACCACCCATTCCTTGGAAGGTCTGAAACAGTCATTGGTTCCAACTCCTTGATGGCAACCCAATAGGTTGGTGCAGGTTGCAGGCCCCCTTTAACAGACCTAAAAGTTTGTTAGCAGACAGTGCAAGGTTTCCTCTCTGAAATATCGCATGCTGGGGGTCTACATTCTATAAGTACCCATCAATGTCTACTTCACCATTACTCTTCAAAAATAGTTCTTTCTGAAGTGCTTATGAGTTACCAGCTGTACACAGGACAATATTTATGGCCAAGGGGCTACCGTTAATTCTCACTAGCTAGGGCTGTCTCATTCTGTTCTTCTCACAAGAGGAAGAGAACTTGTAAAACTCCTTGCCAAAAGGAATGATAGATGCAAAAATTTCAAAGGACTGACTGAAGCTCTTAAAAATAAACAAATCCTCTGGGTGTTACTGAATACGTAAAAATCATAATCAAATAAGTAAGTTAATGGGCTAAAATTATTAAAGGCAGATAGAGAAGCAAAAAAGCAGGAAGTTTGATATATGGCTCTCCTGTTTTTAGTGCTCCATAAGCATCTGCTTTTGGCCATGCTTTCTGGTTTGTTTGTTTGTTTGTTTTAAATTTATTTATTTTTATTATTATTCTTTTTTTTTAAATGTAATTATCCCTTGACGCTAGAACAAAAGACTGTCAAAATTTACGGGAGAGAAAAGAGCGTTCAGGTATCTCTCAATGTCAGTCCTACAAAGCAGGGTGAGATAAAGGCCTCTTTGCTCTACTCAAGTGGGCAGACCTCTGGTCTAACCCACTGTGATCACTCCTACATTATGCTTTTACTTATTTAAAATGGGAATCAAAATCAGTGTGCCTAGCACTCTGTGACCTTTTTTATTGCTTTCTCTGTAATGCAACTAAAGTAGTTACAAACACAGTATTAAAAGAGTGGCACCTGAGACAAAAAAACAACTCAAGTTTTACCCCAAGTCTTTGATAACTGAAGTGTTCTGTTAAGATGTGAGCTGGAGAAGATCAATGGCATCTTGAACCACAGTGTTATCTTGAACAGTAGTCTTTTCAATGAGAAGAGGGTGAAGCAGGCCCCAGTACATCTTTTACAAAGAATTTTGTGGTGGTTTCCTTGTGATTTATTTAATGGCACAGTATGAGAGATACTACTACAGGTTTTAGGTATTTTGTCCATTGCATTTTCTACCAGTAGAAATTTAATAGAATCATTTTCTGCCTTTTTGAGGTACCAGAGGCCATATTGATCTTTCTCTTATAAATGCTGTTATTATGGTTTTCAATACCTCCCTGCTTATGAGAAGACAAGGACATTTGTTGTAGAGCATGTTTCTGTATATGCTTTGTAAATGAGCATAATTTTGAGAAATGGAGATTGCTTTTCTTTTTTACTGAGGTTTCAGCTAGAAAAACAGTATTTACAGGAGGAAGAGTTTTTGAACATTTGAAACCCAGAGCAGATTTTTATTCAATAGTTAATATTGCTTTTATCTGCATTCTTTTATGTGGAACTACAAAAATGATCTATCTGTCTGAATACTAAAACAGCTACAAGGTCTAATTTTACCTGAGTATGGTCTCTTAAGGAGGACTACAAGTTCTCATTTACTGAATGCTACTGTTTTCTTTATTGTAATCCTTGTTGTTGTTTTTTATAGAAATACACAAAATTCCTGGACTTCTAACTTATCCCACCTCTATAAGCAGTATTTTCCAGGCTGAATATGAAGAGTTCTCCAGATGGAATGGCAAACGACTTCAGTAATGCCATTTTATACCCAAATCCTTAAAGGTTATTTAAGCAGATATTCTCTTGTTGAAGCTGACTGAACCTTGGTGCCTGGTGGATCTTAGCCCTGCTGCACCAAAGTGCTGGCAAAACCTGAAGATTTATGTCTCATCACTAGTTCACTGACGAGGGCCAGCTCTCAGCATTGCATTTCCCTGCTGTACCCACAATCTGCGGGCAATGATAGTTGTCATGTGCTATGTTTCAGACACAGCCCAGACTCCTGTGTATGTCTCATAGAAAAACATCAGTTAGTCTCCCTTCCTTTCTCTTAGGTGTGCACAGTTGTAAAACTTATCCAGCTCTGTCCTGAAGCTAGAAAATGTACAGTGCTCCAAGTTCGTATCACACCCCACAGAAACTTCTCTGCTGTCTCTCATCCAACTCAGCTGTTAGTGCTATCTCCAGACAGCCTTTGATCTAAAGCTTGGCCTATGCCAAACCAAGCATTTTTAGACTGCTTTAATCAGCACGTGCAGTCTTTAATTTAATATCCAGTTCACTTGAATTAAAATGGGACCAGCTCTAGTCTAGATTTACTCAGAGACATTTTATGCAAATAGCATAGCCAGTCTGTATAGATGTACGACTGATTAATCTAAGCTTTTTTAATTAACCTGTGTCCAAAATCCAACCAAAAGGTTTTTCTGTTTCCTGTTGCTCTTTACTAGCAACACTGTAGATGAATTAGTGATATCTGTAGCAAATGAAAACTATGTTGCCAAATGATTCTTGTAAGGAATGCACAGTCTCAGTTTCTTTGTTTTTCATTCCCTTTTCCTTCCCACATTGCTATCTGTAGGAACCTTCTGTTTTATTTCTGTTCATTTCACTGAAAACATGGTGCCCTTAATGTTGCCCAGAATTTGAGGTTTTCACCCAATGCACCTGTAGCCTTAGGAAAATGTGAAAAGCATTAAACAAAATTCAAGAAATCCAGTTGGGCATCTTTGATCTATTTGCATTGCTTTGAAAGCATTGTTTCCAGAGTGCATACAAGAGTAATGTCTTCTGCCTCCTTCTCGCCTCATTTTACACGGCTGCCTCAGAGGCAGACAGTGGATGATGGGATGGGCATGAGCAAGCTGTGAAAACCATGCCCTAACGTGCTGGCCTA